GTTTTTATGGTTCCTTAGCCCCTCGTCTCACCTACGTGCCCCGTGTCAATCCGGTCCATTAAACGCAAACTTAGACCCAGATAATATGTCGGCCTGATTATCAAAATAATGCTTTTTCGATTAATGTCATTTCAACAACACATAATGAATACCCCATGTTAATAAATAAAAAAGTTTTAAATGATATTTAAGGTGATGTTAACATTTTTTATAGAATTTACTATGCAATCCGTTAGGATGTCGATCAAACTAATAATGATCTGCATTTAAATTTTCTTCAGAAGCTTTAAATAATATAAATAATAGCCTCTGGTCACGTAAATAACATTGAAAAATTAATTCAATGGTAACGATAATCAGAAATTTAAGTATATCTGATAGGTCGTGTAGTGAAACAAGATTTAAAATTTCAAAATTATTTAAAAATTACCTCGAAGTAGAAATTATTACAGGTAAAATTTTTATTTGTACTTGCCTTCGCTATAACTATAAATAAATAACAAGGACAAAGTTTCGATAAGGTTAGACTTCTACCTAAAGGAAAAATTCTTTTTTTATGGCCAAATGTACGTTTTTTTTTTTAAGAAATAAAAATGTTAAAAAATGTACTTGTAATCTATTTTTTTTAGAAGCGATATCAATGCTATGCCAATCCAAATGATGTAAAATATTTTCTATAACGTTTTATCCATTCTTTTAAATTTTAAGGTTAATATTGGGAATGCTAATTTCAAGATCATTTACATACACAAAAGATTCTGCAAAAATCATCGATTTTATAAATTCAACTAATATGTCAAAGGTATCTGCCATTTTTCACTATATTTTTGATATCATAACATAAATTCTTGTTTAATACTTTTTATTGTTTTTGTCACTAAAATTAGTTTATTTTTAAAATTTTGTCAAGTCTTTGACAAACTAATCTTCTTACAGAATCTCTGAGCTTGTAGAAGTATGATCGACAAAGTTATTGCAATGATCTAAATTATTTGTAAAAATATCATTATAAAAGTTTTTTTTAATAACGAATGTATGAAATCGTTGTCCACTAATCCATAATAGTATCTTACAAGAATGATAGCTGATGGTTAAAAGTTATTTTTAATCAAGTAAATTTTTTTATCACGCAAGTGAACAATAGTTCATTCAGGCAACACAACCTTCTGGCTTCACAATATTATATTGAGTTATTTTTTCGTGATTTCACTCATACATCAGTTGATTTTTATGACATAAAATAAGTGATTAATTACCTGATTTGAGAAAAATGGGGACAGTGACGTAGTTGCGAAGGGAGGAGGAGAAGAACGGGATGAGAGAGTGAGAGACAGCTGCGAGAAAACGGGGAGAGAGAAGTGCTTAAGTTTAATTGGTTTTAACATGCCGTAAAAATAAGCTAGTAACTCTTCAAAATCAGATAGAGCTAAAAGAAAAAAGTTGGGGAGTGAAGGTGACTGCGACTTATTTTATAAATTAAGTGAAATTCGTATTATTTATCACTTCAAATAATACATACAGTTTTCTGAACTAACTTTATTTTACTTATTTGTATACATAGTTTTTAAATTGTTTATGAAGTTTTTCTCTTTTATATATATCTGTAGAGATGACATATCGATAGGTGCGGAAGCGCAAAAGATGATCAAACAGTTTAGACTCGATTGTAGGACCAAACATTAAAACGTCATTTAGGGAGAAGCCCTTACTGGCCTTAGCGGATGCATCGAAGACGACGCGCACCTTCGTGGGGCTGCTTGACTCTTTTATTATCAGGTGATNTTCTTACGATTTATAAGACAGTATTTTATTTTAAGATGTAAATAGGAATGGAAACAAATTTCATCCAATCATTTACTTTTCTTTGTAAATCCCTTAGAATATCCTAAAATTATAGATCATTATTTTGGATAATCGAACTTTACGGCATTCTATCATTTATTGTGCATATATTTATTAAATTTTATGTGTTTTTAAACAAGTCTCATTTAATTACTTGATCTTTTGGTTGATTCACCATGAAACTATTGTGTTGTAGGTGGTATCAACGTGAGCCACATTTGACAAAAATGATTTATAGTATTTAATACTAACGTCGTTGAAAATTTATTAATTTACTAATTACTCAAATAGTTTGTAATCACAATGTTGGGATTAGTTCATCAGGAATTGACTTCATTTATTCATTGAAAAATGTATGGTTCGTTGGAAACTTTTTATTTAGTTTCTTGCTTTTATCACCTTCCTGCTTTTCTATCCGCTTCTATTACTCGTAGAGTAATTTTACGACCATTAATTTTTTTGTCATCAAGTTTCCTACAAAACAAACATCTTTAAAAATTGATTATACATTGTTAAAACCCACTAATGGTAATAAAGAGCAAAAAAAAATTTTTTTCAACCAAAAAACTTTTAATTGCCAAAGAAAAAGAACCATTAAGTCAATATTGCGAGTAACCGTGAGAAAGTATAGATATAACCTTTTACAATAAGAGGCTATTTTCCAAATTATAAAATATATATTAGTTTTTTGTTAGTTAATTTTTTTTAAGTGATACTTGAAAGTGTTATTATAAAGTTAATTGTTAGTTTAAAAAAATAATTGTGCTGATGTGTCCTCACAGTCACAATTCATGTTGTTATTTTTTTTTTTATCTCGTAGGACATGTGCAAACACCGAACGAAATTTATTACTGAACTTGAACCCAGTACATACTCAAATTACTGACTCACTCGGTCGATTCACTCTTAAAATGTGTTGTTGTTCTTTTTTTTTTTTTAATGTTCCTGTAAGTTATTGTTATTTATTGTGTTTATGATAAATGTATTTTATTACTAATTTTTTTATTTCATTAACAAGGTATTACGTATATATCCTATATATTATAACTGTAAGTAGCTAACGTCTACAAAAAGCGAATGGAACTTCGTTCTGATCAGGGGTCCGTAGATCCCTTATGACTGGTTTTTTTTTTTTTTTTTATTGGGTTTTGGAATGTTAAATGTTTAATGAGGTGGAATGAAAGTTATGAATTTTATTGTGGGATTTTGGTTTGTTGGTTGTACTTTTAATTTTTTTAGTATGCTAGAAGGGCAATGGAATAACTAGGCAGAGAGCTTGAGTTTTTTTTTGGATGAAGAGAAGGGCTAAATGGGGTAATTAGGACATATTGTAAGTTTTTCTAGAATAGTGGTTTACGTGGGGTGGGGTTACGGGTCAGGTGCTGGATTTTTATGAATGTAGATTAATGTAGAGGTTTTTATAATAGAAAAGAAGGGAGTTTATAGTTATTTCTGGCTCTTTAAATGCAATGTAGAAATTTAGTGGGTACATCGTTACCCCTAGCTTTACGCTTGCTAAATTTTAGCCATTTTTTTTGTTTTTTCCTCTCTTCTTGTATTCTAGCTGTTGCGATTAGGCATAGTGTGGTATGTTGCCAATGGCTCTTGTCCTATTTTCTTTTTCTTTTCTGGATGAACCCTCACCTTATGTTGTCTCTATTTTGTTGGTGTTCCAGATCCTTCATCATGTTGTCATTATCAATGTTAAAATAATCATCGTCTCTTTCGATGACTGATGCATGGTGTGTAGAAAAGTGGATTCGATGAGCTGTGTGAAATAGGTCTGATGGTTAGGGGTATTCCGTTTCGGATCGATGAAGCTCCTGTAATAATTAAATAACGTATCTCAGCCTTGCTTGGTTGGTTTTATCTTATGTTTGAGTCTTTTTTTATGTCTCCTTGACTGTATTTTGTGTAAAAAAGGTTGCAACTCAGTACCGTGAAACATTCTGGATTTGTTCTTATAAATACCTTGTTTTCCTATTTATCATTCGTCTATGTTTTTAAGGTGCAGTATTCGTCTGCTAACTTTTTTCCTTTTTTTTCAATAAAATTTGCTGCTTAGGTTACCTTATGAATATGTAGGGCTTGTGTTTTTACTGTTGCCGGAATACACCTGTGTTGTTTGTGGTATTTGTTTAATCATTGTTTTAAAGAATTCTACTCCCAGTTTTCATGGTTATGATTGATGACTTTGACCCAAAAGAATCGTAGAAGTTTTCTGTCGACTAATAGATGGTATTGCTTTGTGGACGTTGAATAGAGAAGCAGATTTTCATTCCCGCCTCTTTAAGCGTTTCTAGCCATCGAATCTAATAGTTTGACAAGATCGTTATTCATACTGATTTTACAAAGATTTAACTGATGTTTTATAACTTTATTAACGTGATTTGCGAACTCTTCAACGGCTTCTACCTTAGTTGGTGGTCTTGTTGATATGTTAACGTAACTGTATGACTTTAGAACGTATTCACTACGACTCTTATTATTCGTGGCGTCATATTCGTTTCATTGAGGGGCCTACTGAACCATAGCTTCGACTGTGGCGTTCCAATATTTACTTGGAAACAGAATCTTAAAATCATTAATGGAATTTACTTTCTTTTAAACGTGCTCTTATCAATTAAGGACCGGTCGTTTTGATGCTTCTGATAAAACAAGTTGAGTGGTGTCTAAGTCAATGAAAGTAACTTGAATGTATGTTTTCAAAGCTTTGATGAATTCTAGAACAGTTTTGAATCAGTACCAAGCACGCTTACCACTAAATCAACACCGCTTTGGATTGACAGCTATTTCACCACGTGCCATACGATATAAAAATACTATGCTCTTTAAAGTTGTTTCAGTCTTCAAATATTTACAAAAGAATTGCTTATTGATAATATGAATGTTCATAATTACAGCAATCATCCGTAATGTTAACTGTGTCTTCTGAAGCTATCTAAAAATTTGAAATTTATACTATAGATAAACAAAACAAATGTGTTAAAAATCTTTTATTTAATGCGTAGAACAGTGAATTTTTTAACAATAAGTGTCGTAATAAGATAGTGAGACTGAGAATGCGTAATGAATATTTATAATCACTTAATAATTATTTCTTATATTACATACGTTGAGAAGTAGAACAACATTTTACTAACTCTATTTTGTTTTAGTTCTGAAGGCAATAAACGAAGATAGCCCAACAGTTCCTGCATTGCTGACTGACTACATTTTAAAAGGTAATTCAATATTACACATTGGACTTTAATCATACGAATTTTTCTTTAGTTTTTTTAACGTAGCTATAAGGATGATAATAAGTATGTTACATCCCAGGCTTTATGCAAATAAAAACCTCTCTAAGATAAACAAAATTTTGTGCTAGTTCTATGACACGCTTTTAGACTTTTCACTGTATATTTTGCAATTCAGTTATTGTCGATCATACCACACGGCAACTGAGGTTTATTTTATTGTTCCAAACTAACGGTCCGATAAACTTCTTTGTTGGTATCGTATTTTAAATTTAAAAATCGATTTTTCTATAAATTTAAAACTTTTTTCAAGTTTGATATTTTTGCTTAGCTAAATATGTATGATTAAAAACAATTTTTTCCCATTATGAAAATTCTGAAGATTTGAGTGCTAAAAGGACTAAAGGTAAAAAAAGATTTTTAAACAGTTAAAACTGAATTGTCATCCTTGGCGCCCCCTTTCGCCCATAATTTGAAACATTTTGTGACAGGACAGAAATTTATTTTAAAAATAAACAATGAACTAAAAAAGTATCGAATAAAATTGCTAAAACAGTGTTATACTTTTTAAAACATCGATTCTTGACTTAAACATAAAAAAATGGACAGAGACATTCAAAATTAACGTTTCAAATTTTCGTGGCCATTACTGACGGCTGTAGTGTTACATAAAAGATCCAAAAAATTAAACTAATGTTGCCTCATTAAATACTACAGTTATCTGGAGTTCATGAAAGAAATAATTTCTTTTGTCTCTATTTACGTGTTATGCCCCTTGTATCTTATTGTATTAAATTGTTACTTGGGAGGAGGGGGCACGAAGATCCCTATAGCCCCACAAATACCTCCATCTGCCTTTTCATAGAATTCCTCAGCAACCCTTTACTAAAAAAGGTAAAGGTGGTTGTTTTTTTCCCGTTACTATGAACCAATTACATTTTTGCATAGCTCTGATAGGGCTCCCATCAAGGATAATAATAGCGCTTGTCTTTAGATAAATGAGAGGCAGTAAAAGCTGTAAATTTGTTTCAGTACCTCTATGACTCCGTTGGCTCCAAACTATAAATAGTTAAAAAGCACGAACCGTCGACCTCGCGAAGTAACAGATTAAAGCTGCAGATTGAATATCTTGTTTTCGTTTATTTCTAACACGGATATATCGGCCAATGAATTGGATGTGAATGATTAAATAATTTAATTTAATAATAACGTAATAAAGGGTATTTTTTTACAACTACTCATAATACTCTAATAATAATAATCAATGGTGAGGAAAGCTAGCAAAGATAGGTGCGTTATGCTAACAATTGATTTATGTAAACTGAAAAAACTATGGTGCGTGAAAACTACCACAAGTCGAGAGCACACGTTCCCTATATAACTGTAGTCACCTGAGAGTTCTATAATGGAGGGCCCGTAGCATATCATGTAGCTGACTATAATTGCCAACTAGTGTAGAGTCGTGCAACTGACTACCGTGGGGCCAAATCATCCCCACAAGTAATCAAATTCTACCTGCAACATGAGGTGGTTCGTATCAGTGACTACCATAGAGTCTGATTCAGTTCATGCTATGACCAGTCATGATCACTAAATGTGATATAAAGCAGATGCCACGTGTAGTTTATAAGTATCACATTTACATGTTGGTTTGTGCCTGATGTATTGCAGACTTGTGGAGTCATGGGTTGCGAGAGCAAAATCCATTCCTACGAGAGTATGTGTTTGTGTGTGTGTGTGTTTGTGTGTGTGTGTGTGTGTCAGTACTCAATGAGTAATACTCATATAAAGCTATGTATACTGTTAACGAACACACGCACATATATATACATGGACAGTCCCAACAAAGACTAACATCATTAATTTATTTTAACATTTTTCATGTATAACACACCTCATATTCAATGCAACCTAATTATTATATGACATATTCATATTTTAAAATTATGATATGACAACATAACTTTGAAAGTAAGGTTTTGGTTGACATTGCAACATAACCTGGAATTAATTATATTATTGCAATATCTATATCATTTCAACGTAAAAAGTTTTGCGTAAAAATTGGTAGTATATTCAGGAAATTATTATGAATGTTCATAATAGATCAGAAAAAATTATTAGGAAACATAACCTCAAAAAAAAATTAAAAAACACGATATCTCAAAGAAAAAGCAAAATAGGCCCAAAATAATAATTTTTACTAGTCTTCTAATGGGTAACTAAATCATGGTCGCACATAGAGAGGTTTTGGTCGACATTGCAACATAACTTAGATTTAATTATTGCAAATTTTCATCAAATCATCTTGAAAAATTGCGAAAAAATTATGATATACTTAGGAAATAAGTATGTTTATTAAGAATCAATTCATCAAATACTACATGACGATAAAACCTCAAAAAATATGATAAAATGTGATATTTTGAGGAGAAAGCAAGATCGATCCAAACAAAATAACAATTTTTACGAGTCTTATGTACTTACTCTTACTTTCACTTTACATCTTGAATTTTTTTTTAATCGAGGATCTCAAGACCCATACCTAATATTTGTTACTTTAATATTGCTGTGTTCATTTAATATATTATCTGTACAAGTAGTCAATTATATACAAATTGACAGATCTGTAATGATTAGTATATATGCGTGTATAAGCTACACTTAGGATTTAAAAAATGCAATGTAACGCACTTTTTAAGCCTACAAAACATTGTAGTAAATTGTGATTATTCTTTTTTTTTTAAATAAAGTTTTATTGTTGGACAACTTTGTAAAGTAACAAAAAAATTGAAAATGTTGAAAAAAAAATTTTTTTTGTTTCTCGCACTTGAACGAACGTATCCCTTATCCCTTAATAGCTTACTAAGGGGTAACGTTTAATGTACACCGATGAAATGAGTCATGCTTTTAAAGAACAACTTTTCAATATCTTTTTTTATTGAATTATAAAGTATAAGATACAAATTCTTTTTTTTTAATGGGTATTTGTATTTTTGATATTTTAATCTTTAAATTATGTACAGCAATATCCAACTAATTATTATATACATAATAATCATTTTTTGAAATCTAAACTACATGTTATGTTCATCGACATCGTGGATTATTTTTATCGAAAAATTTCTTTTTACTTTTGTTAAAAACTGAAAACAATGCGTAGTAAATTAGTCCGTACTGTCTTATTTGTTTGCTAGTTTCGTAAAAGTACGTATTTTGATAAATAAACTAATACTCACGTCCAAAACTTTATCGTATATGGTGCTTACATGCCCACATATATGTATATACATCTGCTAGAGACTGCAACACACTGCCTACTACTTGTGGGGCTGATTTGGCCCCACGGCAGCCGTTGAAGGACTTTACATTAGTTGGCACTTGTAGTCAGCGACATGCGGTGCTATATGCACTGCATTGTAAAACTATTAAGGTAACCACGCAAGTGTGATCAGGTGATCGGTCACGCTTGGAGCTTATCTGGCTTCACAGATATTCAAACGCGTCACCATTTATCTAGTGGTCCGTACGGTCAGCCGCGTGTAATGCTTACGCTCCCCCCACACGTAAGCGTGTTTGCTCTCGCTGAATATGTGAGTGCTTCTACGCACCATAGTTTTTTCAGTGTATAAATGGAAAAGTAAGAACCCTTAAAAACAGGAAGTTAAGTAATGAAGATAGCTTACTTCAAAACGACAAAAAGATGGAAGAGAGAGAAAGAAATCAATCGATTGATATTTCATTAATACCTAGGGCTTATGTTCAAATGATAAAACAATTATTACAACAAATTTATATAGTTTGGTGGGAATATTTCTTCTACAATTTTAGACTTAGATTCTAGTTTACAATAACTCAACAAAAATTTCATATTTATCACCAGCAGTTTAGTTACGATTTCAAATCACATTGTAGGTAATTTTATCACGACGCGAAGGCCACTGTGTATGTTTTGTGTGTCAAAGACCAATCATATGGATTATACCGTTAAAAATTATGCAAATAATAAACTTAAAGAAGTTATGACTTTATGAGCTACCCAGAGTACTAGAGTTATAAAGTTACCATCACTAATACTACATCTCGGTGGTCAGCAAGTATCGATAAAGCACCTGCCTAAAACTACTGAGAGATTCCTGCTTACGTAAATCTATTGGTCGCGAATTTAAGAAACGTATAGTCCCAACAGTAAAGGACCCGTGATAGATTTCGGTTTTAGCAGCCGGTATAACAAGTATTGTCTCAGCATTTTGCGTCGACCTATGCAATTCATCTACTTCCAGAAAGAACTCCCATTTGTACTATGTTATATCCGTTTGCATAACGCGGTACATCGTCAGACCTAGAAAAAACTTTTTACGCTTTAAAGGATCGAAGTAATCCATCCCATCATGATAGGGTTTCAATTTTGAGTGACGTCTTAGCCAAAAAATGTATCTGACAACCACATTCATTAATCTATGCAACTTGAGATAGCCCAAAAAATCAGCATATACCAGACAACAATAGTGAAGATGTGGAGAGATAAGCGTACTTGTTAGCATCTTTCGAATATTTATAGACAGTAGGCTACCTCTATATCGTAGTTGATAAAGCACGCTGTGATTATTTTGGCTTTTACCAGAGATATGGAAATTCTACTAAAGATCTGGAGAGAGGATCATCGCCAGTGACCTTACACTATCTGAAAATGGAACAGAACGGCCCCTCACCATCACACTTCGCAATGCAGCCTTATCAGTACGCGTGCCTCTGTGCCCGTCGCAAACAGTACGGTACAGGTCTTTTCATCATTGAGCTAGAACCTCTATTTTTTCGTTAATGCAACAACTGCCTCTATATCTTCATTTATGAGCGAAATCCTTGGAGACGAATCTGCTGGCGTGCACTGCAGATAAATCTATAGGTCGTCCGCAAAGAGCAGAGCCTTGGAATGACGAAGAACTGCCATGCTAGAACTAATGAGTATCAGAAATAATATCGGA